TTCTCACTATTTGGAGCTTTTTTCTTTGTATTTCTTCTGTATGTTGTTGGTATGCTTTTGCATATAGACTTTATGAGCTACGATATCTAATGGGTCTAGTAATTTCAACATTGGTTTCATCCTTTTTTTCTTCCGATGAAGGAGATGCTTCAATGTCTGGAATGCTATATAAACTTTTGGACCAAAGAGAATACGAGGCGCCTCTTCGAAATCGGATTAAAAGCATTTATAAGTACATCACATCCTTGATGCACATCTTAATGTTTGTTCAAGCATTCATTGATTATAAGCTCTTTTCAACCTTTTCCGACTCCCCAAAGGATTTTTCTAGATTTGGTTTCCTTGGAAGTTATTGTGATTCATTCTTAAAATTTTTTGAAAATTTTCATATTGATCTCATTTCATATATCTCGACTATTCTCTGTTTTATGAGAACGTTTATGCCAAACATGATTTCAAATTTTTATAATATTATTTCCCTTTTATCATTTAGATTTATGAAAACTTTATATGACAAAGATAACGATTTTTTTGGTAAACGTCAATATTTTGAAATAACCATTAGCATTTTATCTATTATATCCATTCTATACCGTTATGATCATTTTGTTTATGATCTTTTTGCTTTTTCATTGATTGCATTTATTCTCATCTATGCAATCTGTTTTAGAATATTAGGAATTTATCGTTTATTATTCGAGAGTAAGATTGTTCCTGGTTACACCATTGTAAAAAAAAAGGACAATTGACCGTAGGTCAGCTTCTATAATTGTCCCGTCACGAAAATAAAGAGTACTTTTATATATACGTAGTATCATTGTACCATAAAAAAGAGCCTTTGAAATGTACTTTGATTGATACTTTGATCATCAACAAATATAGGCTATTTGTACAGATTTTCTTTTATCGAGAGTTAACCGTACTACCAAATTATACCATACATTAAGAAGATAAATTTCATTATGTTGACATATGATTTTTTTTTCCTATCGTGATTAACAATATCCTCAAGTTTCTTGACATCCTTATACCAACTAGTTTATGAAGCCTATCTTGGTTTGATTAACGATGATAGGTTATTAGCAAAAAGTAATAAAATTTATATGGTACAAATTTAACAATGCTACACTCACAATACTTCTAATTATATTCGATGATGTGGAAAGAAAGCATCAAGTTCTGATCCTTCCATATAAGATTATCTATATTCAACCAAGAGTTCTTCATTAAGAAGCATCGAGTCATTAGAATACACTCTTCCTGAAATTTGCGATTTTTTCTTAGATTCTAATTCTTTTCCAAGTTTATCTATTATCCTGTCTAATTTCACAACTTAAGCTCTAAGTTCAGCATTCTAGGCAACAACGTGTCCTATTTTTCTTCAGCTCATTGATTCTATTCTTGAGTTTGGCGTAGTCTGCCTTCTTTATTTTTATATATACATATATTCATTCAAACTTCGATTTATAAGTTTTTAAGCTTTATTCAAAAACCTTGTTACTGTATACTAAAGAATTAATCAGGATTATATCATAAATATATTATCTTCAATGAGAAGCTTCCTCTGCCTATAACACATAATCCCAGCATCGCATTTGTATCAACCGGGATGCAACCCGTGAGTTATTTATAGAAAAATCTTTAGTTTTATCAGTACATTATCTTTATATAGTCATTATATGAATATACTTTACAGCTTACTTCGCTGATAATATATGCCTTCATGAAACTTTTTTCAGAATCAAAAAAAGCATTACTTGTCTTAATACACTGGCGGAGCCTATTTCGCAATAATGAGTAAATGTACAATCATAATTTGAAAACTAACCAATTCATCTCGCCTCGTGTTTCGCAAACCTACCCATTTCATTTCGCGAACCAATTCTTCTTGCCTCATGTTTCGCAAACCTATCCATTCCACTTCGCGTTTCGCAAACCAATTCACCTCGCCTCACGTTTCGCAAACTCATTTATTTCGCCTTACATTTCGCAAATCAATTCATCTCCCTTCACGTTCGCAAATCAATTCACCTCATATTTCACAAACCAGTTCACCTCGCCTCACGTTTCGCAGACCAATTCACCTCGCCTCACATTTCACAAACCTACCTATTTTACTTTACATTTTATATGCCTATTCTCTCTACTTCAACATTTTGTCTATTCATTTATTCTACCTTACGTTCTGCGAATCTTTTCACTTTATCTCATATTGAAAATATATTCACATCACCTCACGACATGTATGAATCATATTGAAATTATTATATTCCGGGTTTTTTCATATACCCAAATTAAATCCGAAATTTATTTTATAACGGTAATACCAATTACAGTACTGTAAATACATAAATTGGAATCCAATATTTATGGCCCCTGATCCTCACCCCCAAAACATACTAACGTATTTGTCGCGCTTCAAAAAGAATTACCCGAATATAAACTCGCAGAATTTTTGGTACGTATGCTTTATTTTTCTTCAGACTACAGTATTTTCTATTGGTCTCCTTATACATAGTTTTTTCGTAAGTCGGATTACATAAACGTGCAGTCCAAACCTTATGTAATTATCATTATTGTCTATATGAGAATCACTGTAAATTTATAAATACGCCAGATTACGTGCCGTGAACTGAAACCTTTTTTTTATTTTAAAAACTACCCATTTTTAAAACTTCTCAACTTACTGTATATCTATAATGTTATCTGCTACCGAAGAAATCATGGTATTTGAATTTTCACAAACTTTATAATTTTATAAGTAATTTTTAACGAGTTTCCGGATTTTTTGCATCGTTTTAGGTGATGCCTTTGGGAATTCTTTCCCGGTTGATGTTAGGAAAGACATGGCCGTTGGGTATCTCAAGGAACTCATCAAAAAGAAGAAGGAGTCCGATTTAAACAATATATCCGCGGACAGTCTAAAGTTATGGAGTGTGAATATTCCTACCGAAGGTAAAGATCTGGAAACCAAAATATACGCCGAAAATATCAAAGAACAATACCAAGGTGTAATGTTATCTCCATTCAAAACCGTTGGAGATTATTTTCACGATTACACTAGTAACATCCGCATAATTGTGCAACCACCATCTCCCGCCACCAGTGGTAAGTGTTTCCCGATGGTTTCCCTCTCGAACAAGAAATTTACGTTGTATCACTTACATCTAATTTTAATTAGGGAAAAGAAGACACTTAGACTCGGACTCAGATGAAGAAAGCAGAACCCGAAAAAAGGAGAAACAAACACGTAAGTAATATGTTCAGTGATTATGTTGATTAATTGTGCTCTTATTGTAAATTAATTTCCATTTTTAGCTAAAACATTGACTTCTCTCCTTGCTTCGTCAATATTGCAACCTCTTGACGTGAAGTTTCCTACTCACAAGTTTTATGATCGTAATCAGGCTCTTAATTCAATGTTGAAAGTTGCTCGTTATAACTACGAGGGTCGCAGCAGGCCTGATCACAAAGATCATGGATTTATTTTAATTCCCGGAGGGATAGGAATAGGAAAGACACGGATGGGCTGGGAATCAAAAAATCTGTCCTCTATACTGTCAACAAGGGACGACAATACTGAGTTTGTAGAAGCTCTAAAAGATCCCTGCTACGTCTTTATTGACTTAAATAGTGAATATAAATATATTACAGGTTTCGATGATGTGGAAGATTCAAATGTGCGAATAGGAACGCGTGTTGCAGTGGCTTCGGGGTTGGTGCCTGAGTGTTATCGACTACATAAATTAATAGCAACAAACAACCCAAAACTCTTTGAACTTCCTAACGTGATTAGTGAGATACTTCAACGTCGTTTTAAAATGAAACAGCGTTCGGTTGAGGCTATCATCATCCATCTTGACGAATATCAACTTTACATTGATGATGCTAAACTATACCAACAACTATCATGGATAAAATCTCACGAATTCTTTAAATCAATGCTAAGGGAGATTGGTAGTGTCATGCGTGGTAATAATATGAAAGATGAGTATGATAGAAAATATTTTATCGTCCCAATCTGTACAGGAACATCTGCCATAGACGTTCATTTTTTACCTACAGAGTATACTCAAGAAATATTGGAGCTTAAGCCTTTGAATTATGTTTCAGCAAAGTCAATGTTCCTTGACAAATATGATTATTCAAAGCAAACAACTGATCAAGGAAGAGATCTAGTGATGCAAAACCTCAAATCACATCACTCTTCTGATCTTAATAATGATGATGTCGAAAAGCTTTCAGCGGATTTTTGTAATTTTGTACTAAATCAACAACACTTTCATATTGCTATGTTTGACACTGGCTTCATTCCAAAATTTATTGACGATCTCTTAAATTCCTCTACCCTTAAGTCATATTTTGATTGGGGGAATAAACTCTTTACTAAAATATCTGGCCGGAATGTTACTAAGGTTGGAAATAATCCAGGTGATTGGAAGAACTTAGATGATATACGTACTGTAATCTCATTTGGGCTTACCGGGCATCATGTAACGAGAGATTTTCTACTACCCAGTCGTACTTCCATCGGTGAACTTGAACGATCTGGTTTGATCTATCTTTTTAACACTAAAGATGAATGGTATACCATCGTTATGCCATTTATGCTATTGAAAGTTCTCAACAACAAGCTCCTGATATCTAATGTAGAACCTGTGTTTCCAGATCACCTTCTCTTAATTCCAACACATGTTTTCCCTTGGCAGTGGGAAGACTTTGAACTTCTATACGGACATTTCCAAAATGCTCTTATAGATAGTTTAATCAAAGTTAAGGAGTCAAAATTGTTATCCATTAATCATATAATTGAGCTACTCCAATTAAAATTAGAAAAAGAAACACACGACAACACAATATTGCAAATCAATGATGAAATCAAAAAGAATAATATAAATCTTATCGATGAAACGAACATGAGCTGGCAATTATCTGATATATTTCGTGGTGCATTAGGTGCCGATACACTTCTCCAACGCAAGGTACGATTACATAATCTCAAAGTCTTTACTGAGAGTAAGAAGTTTCTTGCAACGACAGACGATGTTGCAAGTTTTGATAAGTCAGTGTTATGTGATTATAATGTAACCTGCTCACTTGAGGAAGGAATTTTTCGCTGTTACAAAGGGAATGCTAATATTGATCACCGCTGGATTCTTGATTCTGCCGATAATGGAAAAAAGTTGGCGATCTTTTCGCAAATCAAGTACTCAGAACGCGGTGTAATAACTAAAATGTCGACATCAGATATTAAAGGTTGGTACGATATAACAATGAAATCAATAGAAAATTATATGAACGACTATGATGTGGTTCTTGTTTTGTTCACAAACCGGAAATGTACGGGAAAAATTAATATCGAAACAATGCCTCATCTACTTCTCATTTATCCGGAAAATCTTGAGAAGTATCTTTCTCCAACATTTGCTCATCGTGGTTTGGTAGATAGACCAGGCGAAAATAACCACTGATAAATATAATTGGAATCATAAGTATTAGTAAAAATTTCATTTTGCATAATAAAGTTATCATATCACCCGAAGTTAGCATAAATCCAATTTTGAAAGTTAAAACACAATCTTACAATGCGAATCTCTGCATCTTTGCTCCTACATTTATGGTATATTTCTACACCTATCGAAAATTTCATTTGCATAGATGTAACTGCGAAAAATCTTCACGATCAAAAACAACATGTTCATAAATAATTGTTCACGGAACACCTACTGATTTGCTTTATCGTGTAAATCTGGTAGTCACAGAGTGGCTATTCACTTACTTCTGACTTTCTTACTAGCAAAGAATAATCTATCTTTCAACAATCCCACAATAACGCCTATCACTCGTTTTACTCCTTAAAGTGCCATTCCATAGTCAAGAAATAATATTTATATAAATATGGGTTATTTTACTATTAAAATTTTTTTTATTCTTATAAAATTTATTGAATATTTCTATAATATATAAATTAATTTTATAGAATTGATTTAAACCTTTTTAAAAAATTTGTTATGCTATAAAATTTTATAAACCTATAGTAAATTTTAAAAATTTTAAAAATTTTCATTTAATTTTACTTTATAAAAATTTTTTAGTTTTATAAAAAAATTCTAAAAAAATTATTTTTGTTATTATTTATTTTATTTAACAAATTTATATATTAAAATAATTTTATTGGTTATTTGTAATTCATAACATAATTTTAAGCATAGCTTTAAAATATATTTTTGACTTTGAATCAAAATCAAATAATAATATTATAATATATTTAAATATTTTCTTGGATAACTTTTTTCTTTAGTTTAAATTTTAATTATATTTTATTAATTGATTTTTAATTTATAAATTAAATTAAAAACTAAACATTAATTTAAAAACTTTTTAACTATATATTAAAATTTTTAAATTTGTAAATTAATATAAGATTGTATTGATAATTAATTATAAATTAAAAAACAAATAAATTAAATCCATGACTTTTTACTTATTATTAAATATTTAAAATAATTGATTATGATTATTAGGATGTATTTATTATTTAATATAATAATTACAATTTTTTTATATCAACAACTTGTTAGATATAATAAGAAATTAAATAAAATAAAAGTTTTAATCAAAAAAAAAATATAATTTAAATATTTTATGTCTTTATGAACAAAAATAATAATATTTTTAAAAAATAAATTTGAAAAATATTTAAAAAAATATAACTATCTTTTTTTGCCAATAGTCAAATTTGAAAATATATTATAAATATAGAAAATTAAAATTTTTAAAAATTTAAATTTATAAAAATATGTTTAACTATTTTTAATTAAATTAAAAATATAACTAAAATAATAATTATATTTAAATTATTATATTAAATATATAATATATTAATATAAACTTTTTTATATAAAAAATATTATTATTTAATTTAAAAATCTAAAACAAGTTTATTATTTAAATAAATAAATATATATATATATATAATTATCAATTAATAAAAGTAAAATAATATAATATAAAAATATTAATATAAAAGAAAATGAAAAAATTTCATTTTTAAAAAAATTACCCAAAGACTCTAGGGGATTATTTATTCATAAGGCCTGCCCAAGTAACCATGAGTTTATTTTTTTGGATGTTCTCATTACAGATATTTTAAATCTACAAGCTGTAATAATTTACAAAAATATTAAAACAAACAAAATTCTGTTTCCAACCTAATGACAATAATCAAGTTACTACTATTAGGAAACTACTTACAAATCTGGCTTACTTTAGTATACTTTATAATTGATAATTTGAAGCTCCAAAGATAATTGCTATTTTTTTCAAATTATATAGAAAATTTGGTTTTTTTTCTTTGGAAACTGCTATAAATATATCTTTCCTAAATCCTATAACAACTGAAATTCTTAACTCATTTCTCAATTTTCAAAATATCTTTAAAATTACTGACAATAACAAATTAGAAGTCATAAAAAAGATTATCAGATTGAATCTCAACTATAAACTTCATATCCCTTGGAACAAACTTGATATCCAACTTGATGAAAGATAGGATTCCTAACAGTACTATTTTGATATCAAGTCAGTACTGGATTTATTATAAGTTTAATATAGTAGGTCATAATTTATATATTAATTTTATTATAAGTCAATATCAAGTCAATACTATTTTGATACTCAGTTTAGAATCCCAATGAAAGTAATAAATTTTTTTCTTTAACTTAAAAAACTGAAGTACCTAAATTCCCTTCAAACACACCTGCTCCTAATAAAACAATGAATAATGACAATAGTATGTATAATAATTGTTTTTCCCTTATATATCAAGAATATAATATTGAAATTAACAGTAATATCAACTTATCTGTATAGAAAACAGAAATGAAAATTAATGAACAAGTTATACAATCCAATCCATCTAATCAAATCAATACTTCCTTTACCCCCAATATAATTTCTTGAACAGGCAAAATCAATGAAGCTAATATAGAGAAATCAATAACATCTTCTACTATCGAAAATGAGATCGAAAAAACCAGTTCACTAGAAAAACACTTCAAAATTCTTGAATTATATAAGAAATAGACAAATATAATAGAAACACAAATACAATTGTTCAATGGTTTTTCAATATAAAAAAGGAAAGTCCTTTTAAAATAAAATCTGCAACTATTGCCATTATAACCAAACTAGTATATAGAGACTATACCTTTTTCAAAATCATTACAAGAGATAATTTCTTCAAAAACAAATATCAAATAGAATATAAAAACTTGAAGAAAAGATTTTACAATAATTATCTCAAGACAAACAATATTAGCTATATTCATAAATCAATCAGAAAGAAAATTAGAACAATTATTAACAAAGCCCTCTTTATTATATTTCTTAAGTCTACTGATCTTTCAATTCTCAAGCATTGGCAAATAGTTCAAATTTTTAACTATGGCTTTAATTTTTTTATTGATTTTATCTTTAAAAAAATAAACTACCAAATCCTGGCCTTCAAATACAAGAAAGCAATTAAAGACAAACTTTCTATTCTTCTTATCTTACTAGAACATATTCCAATTACAATCAAAATTAAACTCTCCAAAGTAATTTCAATCACTTTTTCCTGATATATAGCTAAAATAGTTAATAGCCTTAGAGCCTTTTATAACTTTAACTGACTTTCTGAATCATTTTTTGTTCAGAAACCAATCCTACTTGAGAACTCATCTGATCTCAAGTCTAAAGTTAAAAGTTGGTTTTTTCTTATCAAATGCAGTAACCTCAGAAACTTGAGAGATCACACTAACAAACTAAAAGACTACTACTATATTCTCTTCAAGTTTCTTGATTTATATTTTTAGTTCTCTCCTTCAAAAGCAACTTATCTATTATCATACATGGACTTACACTCTAATTTTGCTTAACACTTTCCAGTAAAAAATAATATTGAAAAGATCTCTTAACAGCTGAACTTCTTAGAGCTAATAACTTTGTAATCTGACATGTTTCTATGGACTATATTCAGGTTAAACAATTACTTCCATCAGTATTATGATATAGTGAAAATAACTTCATTGACTTATCAATACAATTACAAGAAAGGTTAAAGACTTTATTACCACACTTAAACAAAAATTCTTTATCAAATTGCTCCTGGATCAATAAAGACCTAATTTAGAACAATTTTACTAAAACTTATCAAATGCTGATAATCTGGTTATGTGATCGTCACAATTTTGTGACTGAATTGGGAAGATTCAATTGCAATTTAATAGTTTTTCCTATGTTATGACAAAATTTCAGCCATTTAATGATGATTAAATCATTGTTTTGATAATGACATTGTCATAAACTCTTTTTAAATAAATAGTAAACAAATCGTAACTATATTGTAACAACTTTTAGTTGCAAAATTGCAATGATGTCGTCACTATAATTATTAATAAAATGTCATTATAGTGATATGATTTCGAGATAACTTTAATTAAATTATTATAGAATTATTGTAAAATAGTAACAATTTGTTTATCAAATGATAAAAAAATAGTAACAATATAGTGATCATTTATTTATTATAAAGTCATGACCATATAAAAATTAGATATAAAAGCAGATAGTTTTTTCAAAAATTTTTTAAAAATAATTCAAAAAGAAAATCATCTCTATGATTTTTTGCTCAATGATCCTCACAACAATCTGATTAAAAATCTTTTGAAAAGCCACCATTCAACCAATTTGTTGTTCAATAGCCATCCAATCAACCTGTTGTTCAATAGCTATCCAGTCAACCTTCCATTTAACAGCTATCTGGTCAATCTTCCATTTAACAGTTATCTGGTCAACCTTCCATTCAACAGCCATCTGGTTAACCTTCTATTCAATAGCCATTTGGTCAATCTTCTATTCAACAGCTATCTGGTCAATCTTCTATTCAATAGCCATCTAGTCAACCTTCCATTCAACATTTTGTTTAACATTTCATTCAATAGCCTTTCAGTTAACTTTCTATTCAGCAGCCTTACATTAAACCTTCTGTTTAACAGCCTTATACTCAACCTTCCATTCGGCAGCCTTATATTCAACCTTCTGTTTAGCAGTTCCCTAGTCAATATTTTGTTTAGCAACTATTTGCTTTTGTCCAACAATTCTCTGCATAATTATCAGTAATTCCAATAGTTTAATCACTATTCTATCTATCCTATTTACTATAGATTCAACTAATAATGTATTCCTTATTTTTGAACAAAAATACTTTATCAAATAAGCAAATTTTTTCATATTTCTTTATTGATAATTCCTTAATTATTTATATGTCTAATTATTTTTATAGATCTTAGTGTAGTATTAAACAATCTCAATATACATCTTTTTAATAATTATTCAACTACATTTCAAGAATTAAGAAGTCGTTTTGGCTTAATTCCCAAAAACTTGATAAATGAAGATGTAAATGAAATGGTGGACATTATTTTTCACC